GTGAATAATAAAACTTTCTCTGGACTCAAACTAGTTCCTTACAAGAATTGGGCGCGAAAGAGATCGAAATTGACAGTGGGATAAATGAAAATACTAAATCCAAATAAAGGGAAATTTTACCCAATATCGCCACTGTGGAAAGGTTTCATAAGAAACCTAAAATTAATAGAAGAAATTGGTGTGTATTTTGTGAAAAAACGAAATAAAGGACTGAATCGAAAAAAGGGAAAATTTTGCCCAATATCGCCACTGTGGAAAGAGTACATAAAAAACCTAAAAATAGCAAAACAACAATAACGGTCAGACAACAATCAAAGGTATTTTCGGGAATATACCATTTAATTGATATAGACCTAAAATGTTACGAGAATTTTAAAACAATTGATAAGGAACTAGAAAAAAGGTATCAAAGCCAAATTGATTTAAAGTTTCGTGTAAGAGTGAGTATTTAACCAAAAGATAATAAAACCCACATCCAAGATGGCAACCATTAGGGAGCAAATTGAGAAAAAGATAAAAAACTTGGAAGCCATCCAAGCAATTACTACACCGACTTACCTGGCAACCACAAGTAAGGGTAAGTTAGAATCAAAATTAGCAGAATTACATCGAGACGCAGAGTTTATCACGGCAAATAGCGATAAAACCATCGATTTGGTCGACGGGGATTTAACCGCCTTTAAAGCAAAAATCGTTATCGCGGGAAAAGTTCATTCAGATACAACCACCCTAATCGAAAATCAAATCGAGAGGTTGAAATATGATGAGGTAAAAAGTTTAAGTGAAGCACTCACTAGAACTTTAAACGCCGTAACGACAACAGTGATAGCCAGCTCTTCCAGGGACACATTAAAAGAACTATTCTCCGAGATTGATAATCAATACAAAACGTATGCTGCTGTATCACTCTTGGATTTGACAAAATTAACTTCTGAGCAAGCAAGTAGTCTGGCAGTACAACGAGAGCAAATAAAGGAAAAGGTAGATGCCCAACGAAAAATTATTAATGACCAAATTAATAGATTGGAAGAACAGGGATCGGTAAGTAAAAAGGCAGACCAAAAAGCCGAAACAGGGGAATTTAGCCAAGCTCTTGCCCAATTAAAAGTCGAATTAGAAGTTATCACACCGGAATGGATCGACAAAGCAACGAAGGGACAAAAGGAAGCGAGAATCGAATCCATTACGGAGTTAGATGAAAATGTGGACTCAGCCTTTCAACAAATCAATTGGAGCAATTTGACACCAGAACAACTCACAGACATTAAAACCCGGAAAAAGGCAATAAAGAAACAAAAGGCAAACATTGAGAAACTTTTACATCAGGCAATTTTAAGCGAAACCCTAACCGAGCACACCAGGAGTATTCGGGAAGAAAACGAGCAGCGGAAGGTGAGAGAGCAGAAAACCCAAATGGAACTGGAAAATCTCAAGACCGAGCAAGCTGAAAGAAAGGCATTGGAGCAAGCAACCCAAAAGGAAATAGTAAACCTGAAGGAGCAACTGAGCATCCGCAAACGATCTGTAACTGAAAATCCAGTCAGTGAAGAAAACCAAAAAATCATGGAAGAGATTTTACGAGAATTTAAGGATCTTCAGATGATTAAAGAAGCTACCACTGGAGAATACTTGAATTCAACAACATTGGGAGATCTTCGACTCCGTTTAAATGAAGTGGATACGGATACAAGATATATTATCGAAAATTGGGGAAAAATCCCAATTCAAGAGGTAAAGGTAGATGAAAAGGTAAAATGGAACACAAAAGTAGCGGAGACATTAAAAATCCGTGATGAATTAAAAGAAAAAATATGTAAAAGGATAACTGAATTGGAAAAAACAGAAAAGGTGATGCCTGTTGACTCATCATCAGACGAAGGAGAAATGAAGCTCAAAAGCCAAGACGAGGGTTTAAGAAGAAAAAGGAAAAGGCCTGTAGACTTATCACTTCCACCACTCGAATTTCCAAGTACATCACAAGAAGGTCAGGAGAAAAAGGGGGATGAACCTCAAAGAAAAAAAGGGGATGACCAAGGGGATGACCACTCAAAAGGAGTGGAGGACGATGGAATAGGTATATTACAACCATCAACTCAAAGGATCACATGTACAAATCCGCGGGTCGATTTAAAATTGGATAAAATTAGTATGCCTTACTTTGGTGGTGATTTAACGGAATGGACACAGTTTAAGGAGTTTTTTACAATTTTAGTCCATAATAACAATGAACTTTCAGACTTAATAAAATTTAACATGCTTAGAACCCATTTGAGGGGAGCCGCTTATGATACCATTCGTGGGTATCAATTCTCCAGCGCAAACTACAGTGAGGCCTGGGGAGATTTGTTGAGGCGATATGATAGAGAGGATGAAATTTCGTATGAATACATTCGAAAATTCTACCAAATCCCGGCAATCATTCATCGACCGACATTTAGGTTAATTAGAGCAATTGTTGATGGAACAAACCAGCTACTACGAGCACTTCCTGGTTTAGGTGTTTCTGTCACCAATTGGGATATAATGGTAGAATTCATTGTTTTGTCTAAACTAGACGAAGAGACTCGAAGCGATTGGAAACAAAAAATCGGGAGGAGACAAAATATCCCGGTCAACGAATTATTGGAATTTTTGGAAACAAAGGCAATTGAAATTCAACCAAACCAAAGCGAGAAACTAAGCCAAATGCTACGCCAAGGGGGCAGTGGCAGTGGCCGAATGAGGGAACCAAGAAAGATTTTCCAGATTACAGAAAATCAGGAAGAAAAAACACCAACCAAGCGAGAATGCCCTTTATGCAAGGGGAATCATCAAATTTGGCAATGCAACAAATTTAAAGCTGAATGCGCGAAAGTAAGAACCGAAATAATGAGGTCACTAAAATCATGCTTCAAATGTTTGTTGAAGCATCAAATTGGAAGTTGTAACGCAGAGGACTGCGCATACTGTGGAGGACCCCATCATATCATGCTTTGCTATAAGAGGGAAAATGATTGGGAAAATAAGGGAGCAAAACCAAAACCACCAAGAGATCCGAAATTAACTATAAAGCCAAAGGGAGGCAAGCAAATACATCATGTTCAGCCGAAAACTTCAAAACAAGTTACGCCACGAGAAAGTGACGACTGGGACAACGACTGGACTGCAACTGAGATAAAAAACTAGAACGCAAGGGAAATTCACAAAGGGAGCGGTATGGGGTCATCTTAGGAACAGCAAAAATTGTAATCTTAAGCGACAATGGAATGGTAATTCCAGCAAGGGCACTGTGTGATAACGGATCACAAGTAAATTTGGTAACAATTTCTATCATACAACAAATGAATATAAAAACGACATCAGAAAAAATCACTTTCACTGGAGTAGGAGGAAATACATTGGGATCATCAATGGGAGAGGTTACTTTAAGGATTAAATTAAGAAACGGGAAATGTATAACTGATAAATTTCATGTTGTTAAAAGTATAACCACTTATCAACCAAGAAATACGACCCCAAAATGGACTAATTTAATCGGGAAATTAGCTGACGAAAATTATACGCAGTTGGGAAAAATTAATGTCCTTTTCGGGGTTGGATTCTGGATAAAAATCTTAGAACCTAAGTTACTTAAATTAGAAAATAATTTAACCATAGCCCAGAAAACAAAACTCGGTTATGTAATATTTGAAACGAAAAAAGATCCATATAAAAATGAGTATCCATACATCGGATCGGTTCTAGAGGGCACCTCAATAAAGCAATTATTGGATCAAATCAAAAAATTTTGGGAGGTGGAGGAAATTTCTTTGGAGAAGAAACGAACACTTGAGGAAGAAAAGTGTGAGGAAATCTTTATAAATGGGCATTCAAGGGATAAAACAGGGAGATACATAGTAAGAATGCCATTTAATGAAAAGATCCAGAAGTTGGGATACTCGAAGAAAAGTGCTCTCCATCAATTCTTCAAAATGGAATATAGGATGAAAAGAAATCCAGAATTTGGAGATAAATATCGGTTATTCATGTCTGAATATGAGGCACTGGGCCATATGCAACGCATTTCTGAAGAAGGCGAATCGGGTTACTACACCCCACACCACGGAGTACTATCATCGGAAAAGTTTCGTGTAGTTTTTAACGCATCCTCCAAAACCTCAACAGGGATAACATTAAATGAATGTCAACTAACGGGAGAGAAATTACAATCAGATCTACAAATGATTCTACTAAATTTTAGAAAATATCGGTTTGGTATAACAGCCGATATTGAGAAAATGTATCGGCAAATTTTGGTACATCCATCCGAGAGAAAGTTCCAGAAAATACTCTGGAGAGCCAAAGAAGGAGATCCAATTGGGGTATTTGAATTAAAAACAGTAACATATGGACATACATGTGCACCTCATTGTGCAATTCGAACGCTAATACAATGCGCAATTGATCATGAGGAAAAATATCCAAGGGCTGCCCAACTAGTTAAATCCTGCTTCTATGTCGACGACTTCCTAGGGGGAGGAGACTCATTGGAAGAGGTAAGGGAAATTAAAAACGAAGTAACCGCCTTATTAGGATTAGGGAAGTTACCAATAATAAAATGGAAAACAAACGGGAAATTTGAAGAAAAATTCGAAATAAAAGAAAAGGACCAATCATCAGTATTGGGTCTATATTGGGATATGAAAACGGATCGTTTTTCCTTCAAATTCAAGGCAGAAAAAGAAGAAGAACTCATATGGACCAAGAGGAAAATCTTATCCAGAATCGGTCAATTGTATGATCCAAATGGATATTTGGGACCGGTCATAATGAAAGGAAAAATGATAATTCAAGAATTGTGGAAGGATAAAAAGGACTGGGATGAACATATTTCCGGAAGTATAAAGAAAAGCTGGAATTTATTCAATGACGACTTAAAGAACGTGAACTTGATATCGATAAATCGATGGCTGCAAACAAGTAGCCAAGGAAAAATGGAGTTGCATGGGTTCTGTGATGCTTCCGAAAAGGGATACGGTGTAGGCATTTATGTCAGAACAAAGGGAAAGGAAGGATACCAAACCGAAATTCTAATTTCAAAATCAAGAGTAGCACCGTTGAAAATCTTATCCATTCCGCGTTTAGAATTATGCAGTGCCAGCATCCTAATGAATGCAATAGAAATGATTTATCCCATTTTTTCGAAGGAGGTAATTGGAATTTACTGCTGGACGGATTCAATGATTACTTTACAATGGATTAAGAAAGAATCATCAACACTGAAAACGTTTGTGGCCAATCGAGTTGCAAATATTCAAAATACAACAGAGAAATTAAAGATAAATTGGAATTGGGTTATGGGAAAGGAAAATCCAGCTGATTTAATTTCACGCGGAACAACCGTTTTGGAATTAAAGGATGAGAAAAAATGGTGGAAAGGTCCAGATTGGTTAACTACGGCCAAAGATAAGTGGCCTGAGCAACCAGAAATGGTAATTAAAAACGAAATCCAAGAATTTCAAAAGGAATTTAAGACAATCCATTTAATAAACACTGAAACCCGAAATGAATTAACTAAAGGGAAATGGTTTAAATTTAAAACGTATAGCCAAAAAGAATTTTCACTCTTGGACTCTTACAGCAAGATGAAAACTTTGGTTCGAGTGACTGCTACCATCTTTAAAGCAATTGAGAAATTCAAAAATCCAAGGATGAACAAAATTGGATTGGATTTACAAAGAGCAGAAAACTATTTGATTCAAATAGATCAACAAAGGGACTTTACCAAGGAGTTGGAATCAATAAAAAATGGGAACCTAAAAATGATTAAAAATTTAGTGATAATGTGGGACAAGCAGGATAAATTTATTCGTATTGATGGGAGAGTACGAAGTGAGAATCTCACTAGGAACGAACAGTTTCCTATTCTCCTTAGTGGAGAAAGCACATTGGCAAAAATTTTAATTCGAGAAGCACATCTTAAAACGATGCATGGTGGAAATCAATTAACCCTTCAATACCTACGGAGAAAATTTTGGATCATGAATGCGAAAAGGTTAATTAAGGGAATTTTGAGGAAATGTCCAATTTGCTTCAAAATGAGAATGAAAACATCTGAGCAATTGATGGCATCATTACCAACGTACCGTACAACGCCATCTAAACCATTTAGCAACGTTGGAGTGGATTATTCCGGTCCAATACTATTGAGGTCAACATTGGGTCGATTACCCAAACTAACGAAGGCATGGATAGCCGTATTTGTTTGTCTAGTAACTAGAGCAATCCATTTGGAACTGGTGAGTGACGCGACAACCGAAGCCTTTATAGCAGCACTCAGAAGGATGATATCACGCAGGGGAACAGTCACCCAAGTGGTCAGCGATAATGGAAGCAATCTGGTCGGGGCCCATAACTACATCCGGAACATTTTCGATAGTATTCAAAATAATACGGAAAGACTAGAAGGAGAATTCAATCTAAAATGGAACTTTATAACACCGAGAGCACCTCATCAAGGGGGAATTTATGAGGCAGCGGTAAAATCGATGAAACATCATCTAACAAGGGTCATAGGAGAAACAACGTTAACATTTGAGGAATACGCAACACTTCTAAGCCAAGTAGAAGCGTGCGTTAACTCAAGACCGTTATATGCATTAAGTGATGACCCAACATCACTCAACGCATTAACACCTGCACATTTTTTAATCGGAGAAGCATTAATACAACTCCCCGACGAGGACGACTATAGGGAAACACCAATAAATCGACTCACCAGATGGAATCATATTCAAAAAATGACCCAAAACTTTTGGGACAGATGGCAAAGTGAATATGTTGGGACCCTCACAAATAGAAGTAAATGGCTGAAAGAAAATCGCAATATTACAACAGGAGATCTAGTTATTTTAAAGGATGAAAATACACCTCCTGTCAAATGGAAAATGGGACGAATCCAAGAAGTACTCTACGGACAGGATGGCCTAGTAAGAAACGTTGTAGTTCGAACAGCCACAGGAGTCTATAAGCGGCCTATCGTCAAAATTGGAGTACTCATTCAAGCCGAAAAGGAAGCTGCGCTATAAAACAAAAAGAGTTTTTTTTTTTAAAGGGAAATTAAACAAGTCAATATTTTCTTTTCTTTCAAAAATAGCATACAAAACCAAGAAGATGCATTCTGCAACTGTGTAAATAAATACACTGTTTAGATAAATTTGGTATAAAAGGAACAACACGATACAAGGGACACCAGTTGCAATTTAAAAGGCTTCATTAAAAAAAAAAAAAAAAAATAATAATAATCGTTAAAATGTCAAGTACGTTTCATATGGTGCTAAGAAGTGAAACAAAAAGGTTACGGATAGTGGAACAAGGTGAACCTTCCAGCCCTCAGCCAGTCATAATATTGGAACAACCAACCAAAAGCGAAGACTCGAGCTCTCATCAGGTAGAACAGGGCGAAAACTCCAGTCATAATCAGGAACCAATTGAAATAGTAAACCAACCAACCACTAGCGCAAATAACCAGATAAAAGGCCTATTCAATAAGGACGAAGAAACAATATTAATTAAAAGGTACAGGGCAGAAAGAAAAGCCGAACAACGTTGTGCCAAGGTGAAAAATCTGCTAATCAAAAATAGCATGGAAATTACAAACATCTCAAAAATGGATTTACGAGGAAGAAAAGAGGTACTTACCAACGCGAGAAAAAGCTTATGGAAGATACAAAGGGATCTACCAAACAACTCGAAAATCATCGCAATGATAGAAAGCTGCAACATGGTCATCAGGAGAATTCAACACGAACTATACAGACGACAGTAAAACAAGGGAACACTTCAAACAAGAAACAATTTAACATTCACAACCATTGGTGGGGGCAGGATGTTCGGATTCAAAACATCCGAAAAATTAAAACTAAAAAGAAATTAA